TTTACAAAATTCGATTTCAAAGCAGGTTATTTTCAAGTACCATTAGACAAATTAGATCGACCAAAAACAGCATTTTCAACTCGAGATGGACATTTTCAATTTAAAGTATTACCACAAGGTCTTACTAATGGACCACCAACATTTCAACGTATTGTTAATCAAATATTAGGTCCAAACAGATGAAAACATGTACTCGCCTATATCGATGATATTATTATTTATTCACAAAATTTTAATGAACATTTAAAACATATCGAAGAAGTATGTTTATTATTACATGAAGCAAATTTTAAATTAAATGTTGATAAATGCGAAGTAGCAAGAACAGAAATATTATTTCTCGGACACTTAATTAAAGCAGGTACTATTAAACCTGATCCAGACAACATCCGTGGTTTGACCGAAACACGTGAACCAATATCAGCTGAAGAAGCATTTAGATTCGTCAAAGCAGCAGAATATTACCGAAAATTTATTCCAAAATTTTCCACCATCGCTGCACCATTACATAAATATTCTCCAGCAACAGTACAACAACAGAAGAATAATAAAAAATTAAAATTTGAATTATCTGCTGAAGCTAGAACAGCATTCCACCAACTCAAGAAAATATTAACAACTGATCTTATTCTTGATTTACCTGATGATACATTATTATTTAAATTACAAACTGATGCTTCTGTAGAGGGAATTGGGGCTGTTCTATTACAGATGACCCCCAATGGTGATCGACCATTAGCATATATGTCAAAGAAATTAACAAAAGCACAAACTAAGTGGCCAACAATTGAACAAGAATGTTATGCAATAGTACAAGCAATAGAAAAATGGGATAAATATCTTCGTGGACATGAATTTATATTAGAAACTGATCATGAACCATTAATACATTTTACAAACAAAGAACAATTAAATAAACGATGTGAACGATGGCGATTGAAATTAGCTGAATATCGGTTTAAGGTGAAACACATTCAAGGCAAGAAAAATCATATGGCAGATTATCTTTCAAGATCACCAGTCGAAATAGCTGAAGAAGATATTGAAGAACGACCTCAATATGAATCAACATCAACACAAACAGATTTATCATTTTCATCATTAAATAATAATTTGATTCCATTAAAAATAACAACAGCAATTACTAGAGCTCAAGCCAAATTACAACAACAAGCAACGGCAACACCATCTATTAAACCGACGGATGGAAAAATTAATGAGCTCATCCCACAAGGGAAAGTAGCGACTGATGAAGAACTGATAATCAAACCATCAGATGAAAATCCAAACAAGATCATCCCATTTGATATGGATGATTTAAGAAAATGTCAAGAAGAAGACAAAACAATTCAAGAAATAAAAAAGAATATTAAGAAGAAAAAACATTATTTTATTGAAGATGGAATATTATTTAAAAAACAACAACTACCATTTCCACCAGTGCCATACGTTCCAGCAGGACGAATACGTGCTGATATACTAAAAATTTATCATGATACACCTGCTAATGGAGCTCATTTTGGCCGTGACAAAACAATAAGGAAAATTCAAGAACGTTATTATTGGCCAACAATGATAGCAGATATTAAAAATCATTTAAATTCATGTTTACCATGTGCACAAAATAATTATCGTCGTCAAAAATTACCAGGAAAATTAAAACCAATACCATCCCCGAAAGGAATATGGAAATTATTAAGTATGGATTTTCATGGTCCAATAACTCCAACATCAAAAAAAGGAAATAGATACATTATATCTTTAACAGATGTATTATCAAAATTTGTTATCACAAAAGCTGTTCGAAATTGCTCAGCAACAACAGCAGTGAAATTTCTTATAAATGATGTTATATTAAAATATGGCACTCCAACATGTATATTAACCGATAATGGTACTTATTTTACTTCTCAAGTTATGAACAAATTGTTTGAAAATATTGGAGTCACTCATCTCTATTCTACAGTATATCATCCACAGACTAATGGACAAATTGAACGATTTAATGCTACGATGGATGGAAAAATTGCCGCTTTATGTAATGAACGACGTACAGACTGGGATGAAGTATTACAATTTGTTACATTTAATTATAATACATCAATACATGCAACAACAAAACAAACACCATTCGAAATGATGCATGGAAGACAAGTTACACTTCCATTTGATCAACAAAAAGAAATTATTTCGCTCACACAAGATCCAGAGCACAGTCAAAAAATTAGAATATATCTCGAAAAATTAGTAAATGAAGCTCGAAATAATATTATAAAAAATCAACAACAATATAAAGCTCGATATGATTTACATAGACAAGATTTATTATTAAAAGTCAATGATCTAGTTTTAGTAAAAACAAGAAATGTTAGAAATAAATTTGATATACGATATGAAAGTCCATTTAAAATTATTAAACAATTAGGACATAAAACATTCATTGTTCAACACGTAAAGAAATTAACATTAACAAGACAAGTAACAATGGATGTTATCGTTCCTTTGGTGGAACGATGGAATTTAATTTAATAACACACATCCTCAAACAAAAGGGGAAAGATGTGGTATATGATAATACAAATAGTAAAGTATATGCAACAATAGGAAAAAAAAGAGAAAAAAAAAAAAATATATATATATATATAATAAATATTATTATTATTTCAATTAATTCAAAAATGATTGAGTCGGATTCAGCAGTCCATGTTGGGGAGACAGAATGTCACCTTCTCACTGACAAGGAGGGGCTGTCTAACTCAAAAATTAATTTTAATTGATTTTATTTTATGTATTTATATGCATATTAGTCATCACATACATATATTATACACGATGACTCATCCACCAATCACAATGCATTATAATCGAGGCACTTTTACAGTGTTGGCACCATACTGTACAGTACGAACAATAATGCACGTGTTTCGGTTGGACGACTTTACTATTATCTGAACATCAACATGATATATATATTGACCACATCAAAAGGAAAGAAAAATTTTTATATATGGATAACAATAGCACCGTCTGTTATACACAAAGGAAAGGAAAATTTTATATGGATTAAAAATCGAATATCTATATATACGAAGGAAAGAAAAATTGACCTTACAGACAATGACCTTAGTGAAGAAATATTTTATTACGACATTAAATTATAAATTACGCATTTTCATTTTAGTTATACATCATTTGATCTTTT